CTCCTCCTTCCTCCTTCTCTCACACCTATCCAAACAACCTTCTCCCTCATCCTTCCTTCTCTCTCCGTGCTCCTGCCTCCTACTCCTCCTCTCCCCTTCGTACTCCAACGCACTTTTTGTCTCCCCTACTCTCCTCCTCCTCCTCCTCTCTCTTCTCTTCTCTCGTCCTCCTCTCCTCCTCCTTCACCGTACTTCACACACTTCTACTCCTCCTCCTACTTCTCCCTTCCTCTCCCTCCTCCATTACAACTTTATCCCTCCTTCCCTGCCCCTTCTCTCAATGACCTTCTTCATTCGATCTCCATCACCTCCGCTGCCTCCTTCCTCCCTCGCTTTCCTCCTCCATCCCTCCCTCCTCCTTCTTCCTCTGTCCTTCCACCCTTTTTTCCTCCCCTACTCATCAACTTCTTTCCTGTCCTCCTCCTCTTCCTCCGCTCTGCCCCCTACTCCTCCTCATGGCCGGTTTTCATTCCGATCTCCATCACCTTCGTCCTCCTCCTCTCCCTCACCTCCTCTCCTCCCCCACTCCATCACTTCTTCACTCTGCCTCTGCCTCCTGCCTCCTAATCCTCCAATGACCAGTCTTATTCGATCTCCAGTCACCATCCTGCTCCATCTTCCTCCTCCCTTACTCCCTTCCTCCTCTTTTCCTCCCTACTACTCAGTCACCCTTCTCCGTCCCTCGCTCTCGCCCTGCGCTCCTCCCCCTACTCATCACTTTCTCCCCTCCTCCATTCTTGCCCCCTACTCTATCCTCCATAGAGCCGTCTTCATTCGATCTTCCTCACCGTCTCACGCCCTCTCTTCCCCTCCTCCTCCCCCTACTCCATCGCCTTCTTCCCTCATTCTCCTCCTCCTCCTCCTCCTCCTCCTCCTCCTCCTCCTCCTGCCCCCTACTCCTCCTCCATGACCGTCTTCATTCGATCTCCATCTCAGGGGCAGGTACGTTTATGTAAACACAGGGTACATATATGCTGAGAAGATACAGGTCTGGTACACTTGTGTATACATATACGTACCTTGGGTACATATATATCTGTAGTACCTGATACGACAACGACCCCTTCAGCGACATTAACGGCTAATAGATTGCACAAGTAAATTTTGGACAAGTAAAAATTGCTTCTTGTTGCCCGACAGGACAACCAGATCTGAAAATAAGCGTCGAGGCCTGGAAAGTTCATGTTTAAGATGAACCGTTTGTGACTATCTCTACTACAAGTACAGAGGTCGTTAGTGTTAGTAGTTAGTACAAGTACAGTATAGAGTTAGTTATAAGTTGAGTTATCCTGTTTGTGATAGTTTAATATTTGTAGAGTTGTATTGCAATTATATTAGTTGACTGAATATAAGCCACATAGAAGCGTGTTATGCTAGTGTTAGGATGAACTTCGTATTATAAAAAGCTTAGAATACCAGTTACATGAATGTAGGTTTATAAGTATATATGCGGGTTATTTTCATAACAGTACCTGACAAAACCATGACTACTATTCCACGTCAATTATAGACACAGAGAGTGGATTGTATATTAACCAGGGTGATTCCAACTGAGTATAAGTAAATTTGAGTTCCTAATTTGCTTATTTAACAAAAATCAAATTGAAATCATCTTTTCGTTTGAAAAGGGGAGGGATTGTAGTGTTTAACCTGAGAATTGAGTGCTATAAATACTGAGTAGGTTTTATTAAATAAGAGCGAGTACCAATTGCACCCATTTGAAAAATGCTGGGTCTCTGAGTAACACTGGTTAGAGAGAGGACTGCAGCCAGCATCAGAAATGGGTGTGGGATTGTCACTCTTCATACATTTATGGTTTCAAATTGGGGCGTATTATAGCATGTACACAGTGCATCTACCAATATGATGCCAGAGCATATCAGTGTTTGTAGCAAAGCACGACTTCTTTCACCATAAAGTATTACGTTGCGAGTTATCGCATGGTGCATTATCTATTCGTTAGCTGTAGAATTACTTCAGCATTTATTGTTGGCCTTGTGGGTAGCAACCACAGGGAAATTATGAAGCTCTTACACTCGCAATACCATCAATGTGTAATGGCTGTATGTTATTGAGCAAGAATGTAATGCTTTGCGAAAAATATGCTAACTACATAGAAGCCACATGTGGCTCTATCAGTATCACTACCCGTGATGGTTTCGCATAGACTGCACAAAAGACTGTGCAAAAAAGGATTGGCATCACGGTAGTAGGAGCCATGTCTGAGCTCAAATTATTCTCAGCTGGCTAAGTTGTGGTGGTAGTCGGGGACTGTGTGTACCACTAAATGTTTTTGTGAAATCATACACACGGGAACATTGGGCTACCAGTGAGGGTAGAGTACATTATCTAACACCCACTAAATGTTAAATCTGTGTGGAAATTCTGCAAATTTCTGCACTAAATGTGTAATCCTAACCGTGACCGTAATCTAACGATGAAGGAGTCTGAGTCCACGGCTATCAATTGTTGGAGGGACTACGCAGGACTAGTATATGGAAGGTCTAATGTATTTGGACCACTAACTTGATGCGTCTTGATGAATGTCGTTAAAAGTTGGAAGATGGCCAATTCAGATTTCTATTGTTAGTCCCCGTCTATAGTAGATACCGACTCAACAAACAACATTTTTGTGTGACTCGGAACTGAAAGAAAGGTTCATGTGTTTCAATTATCCAATGACCACAGTTTGACAAAGGTGGATGGGAGTAGTCAGCAGGGCTCAATTTTAACAGTCGTCCGGTCGTCCGTGACGACTGGATTTTCTCTCGGGCAACTACAAATTGCTTCCACACAAGAAAAACCGCGATGCTAATCGCGATGGAAATACCGAGATAATTGTGTCGTTGTTCACACAGGCGGAAATATCTCGCTAATCGCCGAGCGGGATAATTCTATTAATCGAACTGCGCATGCTCACTGCCGGAATGATGCTCACTGCGCATGCTCACTGCTCACTCGCTTGGAATGATGGGATAGAAAATACCGGGATTATTTGTGCGAGCGTTCACACACACGCCGCGGTGCAAATAATCGCGCTAATTCCCAAATAATCGCAGTCAAAAGTGCGATGTGGAGCGATTATTAGTGAGATTATTGCGTTCACAGTTGTAATAATCTCGGTATTTCGATCGCGATGCAAAAACCGGGATTTGCATCCCGCTAATTCGCGCCAGTGTGAACGCGCCTAGTGTTAGTAATGTTAGTAATGTTAGTAGTGTTAGTTAACTTAATGTAAATAACTAAATGTTATGAAATAATTTCATGCAACTTTTAATTACTATTATTATACGTCATTGATCCCAGCATCATTTACCACATTACCAATACTTTATTCTCTTCATATAATGAGTGAAACAATGCGAATGGCCATGTCTGCTGTCACTGCAATACGTACAAAATGTACATGATTAGGCCTTTTGCTTTACAGCACTGAGCATCACGTGAGCAGAGCGCATGCAGCACATGTTTAAATAATATCCGGACAACCAAAACTCTTGAGGGACAACCATATGCTACTCCCCCAAAAAAACCTTAAAATTGAGCACTGGGACTCAGAGTGTATCAGGGTTTCTTCTGAGGGAAAATTAGACAAAGGAGGTAATGGCCAGTTTGGGAAAAAAACGCACGATGGATTCAAAGGCGTGCCGTACCCCACGTCACATGACTCAATAAACGCACATGGCAATCTAAATATCATAAATATGCCCGAATAAGCACGTGGTGATCTATTTATTTTTGGGTTGACACTATTTTGACAACGGCGGGTAAATACAGGAACATTTTCACAACGGTGATGTTAAATTTGACAACGGTGGTGCGCCACTGTGCCTCTTATGTATAAGAAACCCTGTGTATGCATGGTTCGCATTTGATAATTGCGAGATTTCGGATTTCCGTAAAACAATCAATTTAAGTATATTTGTACTGGGAAATTAGCATATTAATCTGTAATTAATTGACATTTTTGTCTCACTTTTGCTTTCACCGGAGATGTTTTATCACAAGAATATCTGTTAGTGTTAGTCAGTCTATTGGTTTGAGTGAGATTAGTAAGTACGATAGTGCGCTCCCGATTTTGGATATTGTTGCTAGGTTAGTCAAGTTAGACCAGTTTACGTGTGTTTTTTACACGAGCACGCCAGATTGTAGCCTTTGTGGGACTTTATTTCCATGCATTGTCTTTTAGAACATCTTACCACAGCATGGAGTAGTTAGAACTGCTACACGTTTGCTAGTTATACGTTTTATAGGAGTGTTTAGAATGTCAAATGCGATAGAACTATTCATATAATGCATGGGTCGAAATTATCCGTATTTTAATGCTCGGGCCTGACATTTCTGATACTAGCAAGCCCGACGGACCAGTAGAAAATCCACCCCAGCATGAAAAACCGTCCCCGGCACGCCAGCAAGGATGAAAAGTTACCGCAGTATCGCTCACTTGTGTCAAGTTGTGCACAACAGCAACCCGGGTCCTACGTGTAATCTACGCTTTGAAGCCTGGCGATTCTAATCGTTACCAGCGGTCATCTGCACTAATGAGGGGGTCCAATTAACTCATTTCCTGCCACATTTACATTGAAATCAGCCTGGCTTTTCATATTGTATCTTCGGTAAATAAACACCGAGACTTGGATTCATGACTTAGACTAGACATGGAGTAAACATGCAGAGTTTGTGTACATTCTATTGCTGTAGTGCAGGCCAGCCAACAGAGTCTAGAGAGTAAGGACACCAGGGAGGACAGTGAGAATTCTGACAGCTGATTAGTAGTCACTGAATATGGTTTTTGTATTACTGTAAATAGATTCCATTGTAAAAATGTCAAATTTCAGTTTTTATTTAAAAACAATTCTGCAGTATCTAGGGAATGATGCGGGCCTGTAGTTTGCCTGGTGGGCCTGCAAAATTCTTTACCTACAGGCCTGGCTGACCTGTAAATTTTCAAACTAATTTCTGTCCCTGTAATGTCATCTGCTTCTGTTGTCTCGTTACAGATCAACGAGTTGAGTCATGTTAACATCCCCGTCATGCTATTGCCTGATGATTTCAAAGCTTTCAGCAAGACACGGGTAGACAACCACCTCTTCAACAAGTAAGTGTGGTCAGGATTGGTCATTATGGCCATGTATACTCATTTACAATTATATATATAATTGTACTTATTATACGAGTTGTAGGCCCGAGTTATACCAATTGCTACCCAATTGTTTCTTCTTGGAATAACTTGCTCGGTTATTGTAATAATATGAGAGTTCATTTATTTCCGGAAAAAGCCATTATCTAACCAGGTTAAATGTGTTGGCTTGTCGTAAAATCATTTTACTCTTATAACCGAGCTATTGGTTTCAGGGTTGTTGTATGTGTAAGTGTATCACCTGTAAACATCAATTCATGTTAAATGTTATGAGATTTGTCACTTGAATTGACGTGACTGAAATTTTGCACTAATAATTTGCTTATTATCTTTCACTGTGGTTCATTTCCTTCCAGAGTATACGTACCTAAAATTTTATTTGAACCATGTCAGAACAGCTATTTGACACCAAAAACTAAAGAAGTTGCTTATAATAGTTGTTATTATGTCACGTGCATTCCACGGTGTTTTTTTTGACAGAGAAAACATGCCTAAACAAGTTACTTTTAATAGTTGTTATTATGTCGCATGCATTCTGTGGTTCATTTTTTACAGAGAAAACATGCCAAGCCATTTCAAAGTGAAAGAGTATTGTCCGATTGTGTTTCGTAACCTACGTGAACGATATGGCATTGAGGACAGCGACTATTTGGTACGTTTTGTTCGGTTTAATTCTGTTTTAAGGCATCGGTTTTATTGTAGAGGCATTAACTCATTGTTACTCAAGTCTATGTGTGTTAACGACAAAACAACGACAAAAGTCAACAACCAAATATTGTTTTCCGAGGTCTTATCTTCTGTTCTGTGTTTCACCTCAAATGCGATTCCCAAGTCTTCTGTAAGCAGCTCCAATATGCGGGTAAACTCGACAAGTTTCGCACGTGGCACCGAACGTGGCAGCGATGCCACTCGACAAAAGTTACCGATCAAAGTGTTCTCCGAGGTTCTATCATCAGTCTGCTCCATCTTAAACGCGATTCCTTTCGTCTCGTATCTTGTAGAAGTCGCGGACAAAATGCGTTTTCTCCGAGGTTCTGTTTTCTATTCTGTACTCCATCTCAAACGCGATTCCTTTCATCTCTGATGAAATCTGAAGTCGCTGATGAAATGTGTTGGTATGATTGTAGGTGCATTAACTCATTGTAACTCAAGTTTTCGCGTGTTAATGACGAAATAACGACAAAGGTTAACAACCAAATTGTTCTTCAAGGTTCTATCTTTACTTTGTTTCATCTTAAACGTGAATCCTTTTGTCAAGTAGAAGTAGCTGATGAAATGCGTTTCCTCTCAAGTTGCATTAACACTCAAGTCTCCGTGTGTTAACGGCAAAATAACGGCAAAAGCTAACAAGCAAATTGTTTTCCGGTGTTCTATCGTCAGTCTGCTCCATCTCAAACGCGATTGCGTTCGTCTCGTATCTTGTAGAAGTCGCTGACGAAGTGCGAGCCGGTGGCGTCGGACGCGCAGGGCCGCAGCACGGCCCGCTTCCTCATGTCTCACGACCACAAGTTCATCATCAAGACGATGGTCAGCGAGGAGGTGGAACAGATGCACAGCATACTCAAGGCGTATCACCAGGTGAGCAGCAGCATCAGCAGCATGTACGTGTGTGGTAGGGAGGGTAGAGTAGGGTGGGTAGAGAGTGCTAGCACTTTAGGTTAGCAGCAGCAGCAGCACGACGTCCATTTTTGGGGGTGGGTGGGGAGACTAGGGGAGCAGCAGCAGCAGCACCACATCCATTTGCGGGGGTGGGGTGGGGAGTGCAATTAGGGCATACTAGGGGAGCAGCAGCAGCAAGCAGCAGCAGCACGTCCATATTGCGGGGGTGGGGTGGGGAAGTGCATTAGCATATCAGGGAGGCCAGCAGGCAGGCAGCAGCACGACAGTCCATTTTCTGGGGGTGGGTGGGGAGACTAGGGGGACGCCAGGCAGCAAGGCAGCATCCACGTCCATATTGGCGGGTGGGGTGGGGAGTGTATTAGCATATAGGGGAGCAGGCAGCAGGCAGCAGCACCATGTCCATCGTTGCGGGGGTGTGGGGTGGGGAGTGGCATTAGCATATAGGGGGCAGGCAGCAGCACGTCCATTTGCGGGGCGTGGGGTGGGAGAGTGCAATTAGCATATAGGGAGCAGCAGGCAGCAGCACGTCCATTTTGGCGGGTGGGGGGGAGTGCATTAGGCATATTAGGGGAGGCAGCAGCAGCAGCAGCAGCAGCACTCCCGACCGTCGACCGACTCGGCGTTACTGTGACTGTATGTGCCTTCCGGTCGCCGCTGTGTAGCGCTGACGTGCGATACGTTATTCTACAGCGTTACTACACTACACGCGTAAGGGGCGGGTCATTACCACATGACGATAAATAACAAGAACGGTATTTTGTGGAGTAAGGGCTGTGTCTAATGACTGGAAATGCGAGAAAAAGAATAGCTAAGAAGGAAACATAAATTTAATTGTGAATGATGACGGAAACACGCGAGTTGTTCCAGCTAAGCTATCGCAAGAACCGTGAGTCGGTCGCAGTACTGACTAATGTCGAGTCGGTGTTCGGCGAAAATACCAGATTTTCACCGCTCATTATCTCAGCATAGGGGCATCGTAGGGACATGCGGTTTGTTTTATATGAACAAGGTAGGACAGCTGATCAATAATACGTATAAAGAATCGTAAAAATAAAACGGGGAGTTTCAGCATTTCACCGTTGTATGTTCTCCTTCTTTATACGCTCTTGATATATATATATATATATATATATGCACGCATGCACACACATGATGGTGAATTGTATCAATACTTGTGTATAATACGTTACTATAATATATGAATTATCTTATAATAGTAGGCATGTACCATAAAAGTCGCTTAGAAATGAGATCAATTAAAATTTTTATATGTATTTGTTGTTATCCTGTTTCCATACCAGTCATGAATATTGGAAGTAGTATTACATCCTTAACTAGTGTTAGTGTTAATGTACATGCGTTTACAGTATGTGGTGGAGAACCATGGACAGACGTTACTTCCACAATACCTCGGCTTATATCGATTCACTGTGGATGGCGCGGAGACGTACATGGTCATTACAAGAAACGTATTCAGTCAAAATCTCACCATTCACAAAAAATATGATCTCAAGGGTTCAACGGTGGATAGATCAGCCAGTGAAAAAGAACGGGTAATGTAGTGTCTCCTGTATTGAAAAAATATATATTTCAATGTTACGTGCATCAAAGACATTATTAATGAAATTTCTTTCACACTTTACAAGAAAAGGAAAAATAAAGATCAAAGTCAGGTACGCATGTGAGTATTTAATGTTCTGATTATTGTAAGGTTTGACATTGATTTCGGTTTGATGTGATATATTCGCTTGCAGGCCAAAGATTTGCCAACGTTTAAGGACAATGACTTTGTCAATGATGGAGTCATAGTACATGTTGGATCAGAAACCAAAGCAAAGTTAATAGAGAAAATCACTAAAGACGTTGAGGTGAGTATGTATGCGTATGTCACACGATCCGGACTTTGCAAGAGTTTTCCAGTGTTTTCACCACTTTCATGCCACCTACCGTTATTGCGTGAGTAACAGCAATTGTCTAGAGTAACAATAAAATGTCTTAGAACCTTCGTATTCACCAAAGAAGTGCCAGTTTCGAACTACTAGTTTGGTAGTAAACAAACTAACAATCGTTTGTTGTCATCTTGAAACTAGCCGGAAGTATGGATTAGCTTGTGGCGCCACTGCTTATCTGCCATAGACATAGTATAGGCTCTCTCAAATCATGCACTTGTTTTCAATTAATCACCGACACAAATACAAGTTTACCAATTCTGCCATTAGGCATTATCGCGACACAATCAAATGCATTGCCGTTACGATGTGTTCATATCCAATTTTCTATGCTATAACTGCATAAAATTTTAGTGTTTTTAACGTTGGTGTAATCAGTGATATTTCCGCTGTCAGGTGAGACTATATTCAGCTATATTTAGTGTTTCTGAGCAAAAATCTCGCAATAGTCAGTTTAAATAAAAATCTTATCAACATTGACCGAGTTAATATGGTGTAATATTATAGCATTGTATTGTGTGATATTTAATTGGATTTTTATTGTTTTTCATTTTATTGAGACTGCGCTTATTTATTGTTGTAATTTTTAAAACGATGCCATCTTGAGTAAAGCCAACATCAAAAATCTGTAGTTTAGTATGGCCTTTCCTATTAGTAGATATATTACTTGTGGAATGTCATTCATCATATAGAACACAGTGAGTTTGATGGTCAAATTTCAAAAACAAGTACGTCTTATAAGTCACAAATTTACTGTAAATAGTTGAAATTGGGTCAGTAATCAGGTAATTAAAATCTCAAGCTCGACCCCGAACCCCAACCTTTACGACACCGGACGCTGTGATTTTGAGGGCCAGAATTTGAAAGCAAGTGCGTCCTATATGCCGCAAATTACGGCAAATAATTGTGAAACGTTTCTCGGTCTGCTCTCACATGATGGACACAAATGGGGTCTCGGTCGTCGTGTAATTGCAAAATGTTTCTCCGTCCTTCTCGTGCAGTTTCTCACCAGTCAGCACCTCATGGAATCGTTTCTTTGTCTTCCTCTTACAGTTTCTCACCAGTCAGCACCTCATGGAATCGTTTCTTTGTCTTCCTCTTACAGTTTCTCACCAGTCCGCACCTCATGGAATCGTTTCTTTGTCTTTCCTCTTGCAGTTTCTCACCAGTCGGCACCTCATGGAATCGTTTCTCCATTCTTCCTCTTACAGTTTCTCACCAGTCGGCACCTCATGGAATCATTTCTCCGTCCTTCCTCTTACAGTTTCTCACCAGTCAGCACCTCATGGAATCGTTTCTTTGTCTTCCTCTTACAGTTTCTCACCAGTCCGCA